AGGATATTGTGAAGACCATTCGGTTAGGCATTGATATTATGCCACAACTGCTTGGAATCAGCAGCCCACCGCTCAGCCCGAAGAGCATCAATTGCCAAATTCCGGAGTTATATGCCCGGACCCTGAACGTACATCGGGTTTCACCGGAAAATAATGAACATCACTGATGCAATCGTCGTTCGGCGATGTTCACCGTGATGCAACCGTTCGTTCGGCAATGTTCATTGGCTACGCCGTGTCCGCCGTTGATCGCACATTCTGAAACTGATGTCCAATCACTCTCGGCAACATCCGCTGTACTTCAACGAATAGGTATGCTTTTCCCTTCACATAGAGGGCGTTCACTAGGACTTTACGGTGCTTACCTGCAAGGTATACTTCGGCCTTCGCGTCTGAGCTGGAATAATCCAATCTTGGAACTCAAGAGATTGCATTTGGCTTGAATTCGGCTCGAGTTCGGCGAATTCCGCCGAAGTTCATCGGACTTCGGCAGGAAAATACATAAACTAACTGCAGATTCTTCGATCTTCACCATGATGTGTGAGCCTACCGACTCATTTTTTTGTATCTGTCCCAGCCGGCCCGGTGAATCTAGTTTTTCTCTCACTTCATCGTGTCTTCGCTCAGATTCATCGGAATTCAGCGTACATTTTTTTATTTTGAAGGGTTTCCAGTGAGTGGGGGGATATACACTGGAATTCATTGGAATACAGTGGAAGTTTAGTGGGATTCCACTGAATTTCAGTGGATCTGGCCGGCGTTACCGGTCCGGGCATCTTACAGAAATTCCGGGATATTGAACAACAACTGTAGTATGCCGCCCTGGACCCTGTCTGTCCTGCGATCACTGAGCAACCGCAAATCACTTTAATCAGCGGCGATTGAGTGATTCCGCATACTATAAACACCGACCGGATGTGCCTCAGCCGAAATCTCCATATCCGCGGTCAGCGGTAGCACTCCCACTGCTGGTGCTACTAACCTGAGGGGCGGCACTGGGCAATGCCGCTTATATTCACAAGCAACTCACATCGGAATGGTACTGAAAAGTATTGTGCGAGAATTGAATGGATTCAATGGCGGCTCATCTTGATAAGCAGCTCATGTCTGCTGCTCACAAGCGGCCTTGATAATGCACGATCGACAATACAACTGTTATTTACGCCGGAAACACTGGCCTTCCCTCGGTCTGCTTGGTCGGCGATATTTTCCGCACCGGGGAAATGTGTTGTTCAACGCCAAGTGCCTTATGCGTTGGCGGTGTTGAGTTGCAGTGTCGCTTCCGTGTTTAATTCATGAGCCATCTTCCGAAGCGGAGCACACCCGAAGTTTCGCGGCACGAAATTCCAGAAGTACAACTGCCCTGCCGCCGAGGTTTGGGGTTTTAAAGGTGAAACAATTTCTCGCCGACGGTGGGAACGCTGGAAGATGGGTGGTCATGATCATTCGCAGAACTTCCGCAATAAAATGAAATATAAAAAGTTCGCTGCGAGAACAACGGCAGAAGTTAGCCCTGTGGTTTCAATGGGAATATATCGGAGCTCACGAATTCGTGTCGAGTTTTGCAAAGTATCACTGAAGACCGGAAGACAAGGATCCGGCGTGGGACGTGAGGACCCGAAACTTCCCTATTTCTTGATGAGTCCAAACCCTCGGATATATGAGAGGCCTAAATTCTGGAAACGGAAAAAACAAGGCGCCAAAAAGTCTTGCGAATATTGTGGACCACGATATGCATACATACACGTTCTTCGCTGGCGCGGCCGAGTAGTAGGGGGGCGGCGGCGCAGTATGGGGTTCAACCTACGGCTCAACCAAGGTTAGGATACAATACAGTACCCTACAGGATGGTTTTCACCGACCTCAGGATGAAAATAAGCTGGCAGTAGGTTGGTTGTTGCAGTATGATTTTCATACTGTTTTCGTCATTTCTAACCTACAGGCCTGCCGGCCCGTCCGAACGTTTTCCAACCTACCGCTGATGCGGGGGCGCAAGAGTCGGACGTGCGGTGGGGTGAGAATCTGGCAGATGTAGGCGGGGCGGCCGCGGCTGCGCGTGGGGACATGGAATGTAGTTAGCATGGTCGTTGCTTCTGAGAGAAATTGGAGGGAGGCGACGTCAGACGCTCGTAGGCAACGATGAATGATGAATGGGAATTGAAAATCAAATGGGATGAAGGAGGATAGAGAAAGTAAAAGACGGAAGAAGTCGACAGGCGGTGGCGCGCAATATATATTATTCATGAAGAATAAGTATATTGTCTCGGCTCGAAGGACAAGCGAAGCTAAATCGACGATGATCGCCCAATGGGCGGCAGAGACACGACAACTCTCTTCACTCCCCAATTTCCTCCCTCACCAACAAGAGTATGCTCCACAGGACGCCAAATAAAAAACAGTCCCGCCAGAGAACAAAGAAAACAAAGCACTCACGTAACCCTAATGCAAGAAGCGGCGGCAGTCCGCCTTGGTGGAAATGACATGAGCTGACAGAGACGCAAAAGCGGAGTGCGCTGCGGCGGCGCCGGCGGGATGAGCGCCAACCCGGTCTTGATCACCGGCCCAGCGTTCGACACCTGCCGCCCTCCCCCTGCTCCTCCGTGGGCGTTACATTATCTTTATGCGACAGTGGGACGAATGAGGGTGCGGCTGCGATACGCGTACAAATAGCATTGTTTTTTTGGAAGAAGATAAGGAGAGCTACACACCGGCGGCGTCGGCGGTAGGCTGTATTCTGTGACCGCACCATCTGCTGCTTGAGCATCCTGCGGTGCTCGACGCTTTCGTCTTTTCGCTGCATCCGAAAAGGAAATCCGTTAGTGTTAGCTCGAATATCAAGGACTAAGGAATCGAGTAACCCTCACCGACGATGACGTCCCAGGTCCCGATGGCCCCGTACCATCACTTCTCTACGCACTTGCCCTCCTGAAACGAAATGCGTCATCAGCGTTCCGCCCTTGATTCCAAGAAGAAACGGGAGTAAAGGGGGGAGGAAAGAAATATACCGCAGCTAGCCCCACTGTCTGCAAATCCGCTGGTTCTGGGCGTTGGTCGCGGGGAAGGGGGAAGGCGGGCGTCTGCGACAAAGAAGATGATAATTAATTAGCATCACTTTGTTTGCGAAGTAAAGAGGAAAGGTGGGAGGTGAAAGAGAGCAAGAGGTCGTGCTGTCTCCGCCTGCCAAAATTGGGATAAAAAATCGACACCTTCTCCCCGGCGTCGGCGGATACACAACCCATCAACGCCAGGGTAGGGGGAGGAGGAGGACGCTAGGTCATATCAATCGTCTGCGTCTTCCCCGCCCACCCGCGGCGCGATGACGACGACTCGTGCCAAAAGAAAAAGGCGACGTACGTGCACCAAGCGCACCAAAGCATGGAGAGCTGAGGCTCAAGTCAAAATTGATGCGGAATGCTCCTTGGGTGCTGTTTTGCTTAGGCCGATCGATATGCATGCCGCTCGGAGAGGAATGGTTGCATGTGTTGCACGAGAAAGCCGGGGGCACGAGCATTGAACGGCTCCATACCACCAACTCTTGCAGCTCGGCAACACACGTCCGAAAGAGTGTGTTGGCGCCTGAAACACCCGGCCCGCGCATTTAAGATGCAGGCGGCACTTGGTCCAAAAGTCGACCAGGATAGAATAAAAAGACTCACCCGTGAGTGAGTGTGATTGGTTCAATGCCGACCAGCGCTGCATAGATATTCCCCTTGAGATGCAATTTGTGCTGAAATTCGCGTCCATTTCTTGCTCAGAGTTATATTGGAGAGGCAGAGAATTTGCGGGGCTCCAGCGGTGCCGGTTACGGTCCCCGACAACGTCGCACCAGGGACCATTACTTGAAGCTAGAAGGATTGGGATTGCGATCCATTGGACTGAATACTGCTGATGAACCTCCCGCACTGATGTTGCGGCAGCGTTGTGGTAACGGTAGGTTGTGGTAAGAGACAAGAACTGATCCGTGGCAGTGCTGCACTGCCACGGTTACTGCCACGGTCTACGCCGCAGCATAGACTTGAGGGTAATATATTTCTGTAATGTGCTTGCTTCGCAGAGCGAGCAAGTAGTGTCTTCAAGGTGGTATTCAAATCACTCTGTGAGCGGGTTGTAGCCTAATCCTTCTAGACCCATGTTACTTTCTACGGAGTGGTGATACGTCCGTGGAAGGATTCTGTGGATGTACGTGAGCGAAGCGGTGTGTGAATGACCGTGGAGTGGTTATAATCGCCGCGGATAAGCCTTTCGTGACAATGGGGTTGGCCTCTGTAAAGGGATTCTCCGTTTGAGGTCCGAAGCTAAATAGTTACATGCAGCTAAGTTGGGCTGCTGGCTATTGGGAGGTTTACCGGGTGCTTTCTTCAACTGTATGCGTCGACTTGACTACTCTATTCCAATAATTTCCTCCTGACTCGTTCTATTGAGCCAGAAGTACAACGGATTAGTCTCCTTGGTGAAATTATATTCAATTGACCTTGGTCGGTCCCACGAAGGACGGTGCAAGCCTGAGTATGATGTGTTTTATGAACTACACCCCATATGTTGGAGGGGGAGTAGCTTAGTTATGTGCAGTGGGAGGTAACAAGATAATTTCTTCTACGGACAGTCTCCCTTTTATACTATTCCCCTAGCCCGATGACCGCGTGCGTATTTCTCCTTCAATCCTTCACGGAGTCCCGATTTGCTTATGGTGCACTGCCCATACATCGTCCGTGGAGCACTGTTATCCGTGAACTTAACGCGACGTGTCAACCGTGAAACTGAAGGAGTTATCTATATGTCGTCCATGAGCAGCTCCTCGTTCTAGAATGCCTTGTGTTTTGCGTCGTCCGTGCAACGGAAGGGGTTATCAATACTTTGTCCGTGAGCCAGACTCGTTCACAGGTTACCTGTACTAAGTATCCAGAATTGCCTTGTGTCCATGGCGCCTTGGTTTCGCATCCCTGAATAGTGCATGTTAATAGCATAGTGCATGGTCTTCAGATTGAGCTTGGTCAAGCGTGGACCCGATAGCTTAGTGGTAAAGCACGCTGGTTCTGGTGGATTGCACCCCTTGAGGTTTCCCCAGTGTTCCCTTGTTCGATTCGAGGTCGGGTCATTTACCTTGATGAAACCCTTTTTGCTTCATTCCTCGCTCGCTTTTGTCGGCCATGGACCCTGCCAATTTACCCAGTTTGCCCACGGAGAGCGTTGATAGTTCATGGTGCTCTAATGCACAGTGCGTGGTCTTGCTTCCATTTGAGCTAGGTGCAATCGTGGACCTGATAGCTTAGTGGTAAAGCGTATTGGACTTGTGGGTTGCACCTTTTCAGGTTTTCCCAATGTTCCCTCGTTCGATTCTGTCAATTAATGGCCTGGTGGTGCAGTGGTAGCACTCGTGGATGTACTTTGCATTGTGTCGGCACTTATTCTCTGCACGACCCTTGTTTGATTCAAGGCCATGCCTTTTTATTTCGGAGATTCCTATGCCGTCCGTGAAGCCCATTGTCATATATGGCTCCGTGTACCCAGATTAATCACGGCGGCTCAAATGGTAATTGCTCGCGACTCTCCGTGACAATGGAACCGCGACCTCCTTGTTCGATTCAAGGTCAGGCCTCTCCGCTCCTATGTGGCTTTTTTGCTTGTAGTTTGAATGTAATGAGTTGGAGTACATTTTTCCGTGAGCCATCATCCAGTTTCCACGGAGCGTGAAGTTGGTATTCCCCGGAAGGACAGCCGTTGTCGTTATTCAGGATTTTCCCACGTCACTCCGTGTGATTGCTCTTTTCAGCTATGGAGGAGCATATCACAAAGTGATAGCTCACAGCGCTGCCATCCTGCTTATTGTCTTGCCTGTTATAGACCATGCCGGAATGGTACGCAAGAGGGCTGGAGGTCCGATCCGGATGGTTCAAGTCAAGTCCAAGGATTCCGGAGCTGTACCAGAAAACCGGGTGACTTGGAGATAGGGATCACCAGGGGTAAAGGTATACCTCCCAAGGTATAGATGGAGGTACAGGTGAGGTAGAGGTAAAGGTTGCCAGATCTGTACCTTTGGCCAAACCTCTCTGAACCTCCCAAGGTAGAGGTACCCAGAGGCACAGACTTTTACACCTTGGAACCTTATTTTATGCCCCAAGAAACAAAATTTCAGCACTTCAATGGTTACCCTGTAGTCTCTAACATATTTTCGACCCATTCTGACCCCTTAGAGACTAAAAAGTCACATTTGAGGCAATGATACAAATCACATGACCTATTCAATTTATCTGAAACAGGTTTCTTTCCAGTGTGGAACAGTATATATGATGCATGGGGCCTTTTGAGTGGATGTAATGATGAAGTGTTTCAAGGTCCATCAGTTTTGAAGGTATTTAGCAAGGAAATACAGAGATAAAATATTAGTAAGCATACTGTACCATTACATTCAAATCGTGAGGGGGGGGGGGGGGGGGGGGGGGGGGGGGGGGGGGGTGACACGTAACCGGTTCAACCAATTTGACAATTTGACACCCACCCGAAAGGTGCATGGCGGGGCACCAAAATTCGATACAGCCCTCACATCTTGCCCTTGTGTTGAAGATTAGTCACTGGGGTAGTTGGGTAATATTTAGATGGTTTGTTGGATCATTGTTGGTATTTTCTTGGCAGCTTTGTTTACAAGTCATTTCAGGCCCGAGACCAACCACATGTTGAATTTTAGAGTTGTAGGTAGAAAACGGTGCAGGAGATGTTTAAATTGTCATCTGCAAACGGTAGGTCATACCAGAGCTTTTTTGTGCTATTGCACCGAATGTTTTGGCAGTGTGACGAACCACTGGACCTATTCGACGTCGGCCTCGGTGACGTGGGACCTATGGGTTGCATCCTTTCAGGTTTCCTCGGCGCTCCCTCGTTCGATTCGGGGTTGGGTCATTCATATTTTTTGCTTCATTCCTCGAACTCGCTTGCTTTGTGGATCCTGCTAAAACACCCATTTCGTCGAATGCGCTCGCTCATTTCACCTGCGCCGTCTTTCTCCGTGGTGCAAGTCCCTGCTCTATGAGGTAATTTTTGGGTCCATGTTTGTAGATCGTGCGCTCCGTTGATCATCGGCCTGGTGGTGCGGTTGTAGCACTCGCAGTGTCCTTCGCATAGTATCGGCACTTATTCTTTACAAGACCCTTGGTCGATTCAAGGTCTGGCCTTATTACTACGTTTTCTTTTTGTCACGGACTGTATCGTTTATTGTACTTGGTTTTTTCCCTCGTCGCTCCGTGGCGTGTAATTGCCTTTTTCAGCCACGGAGGGAGCGTATCACAAGGTGATAGCTCACAACGTAACAATAAATAAAGTCTGAATGTGGAAGGAGAAGGAAGGCATAGTCATGTGATGTTCAAAGACAATAAGTAAGAAGGCAGGAGACATGAAGTGGATGACAGATGAGACCGGATGGATGGAAAAGGCTCATTAATTCAACATCGCACAATTATTGCATCACCCAAAGTCTTGGGACATCCTCGGAACCTTCCGAGTTCGTCCAGGCTTCCGGGGTCATCGGGGGGCCTTTGGACTATCGGTGAAGGGATCCGAGGTCATCTGGGTGCGATCGGACCATTGTCGAAGGGTTCCGCGCACAGATATAACACCGCCCCAACACCGGTTATAAAGACTTGATAAATACGAGTAAAATACGGATAAATCAAGAATCAATCTATTAGTAGAATACAGATAAAACTCAGAATAATGGATTGATTGATCCTTCACCTAAGCACCATCAAGCCCCCACCATGCTGCCCTCCCTGATGTCAGTCAACTCAGATTGAAAACACAGGCAAAATATGGAGGAGTTTAGGAATAATACTAAGAGGTTGAGAGATCCAACACACACAAGATACTACAATAATCCATTTTTTAAAGAACCCACAGACCCAACACAATTATAAGAGATTCAATGTCACATACTGTGACAAAGATCATTTGATTACATGACCCCAGATCGAGCTGGAGCCCTTCCTTCTTACCACCACTACATCTCCCTCCTCACCTCACAATATCTTTGCTACTCTTTCCCTGGCCTCGGTCGTTGTCTTGCTGCAACCTACTGGCCTCCCTCTCTCCTCAAGGCTCTCCCAACCACATATTTCCAACTAGGTGGCATGAATCTGTCTTTAAGCTGGTTACTCCTTCCCCCCTTGTTTTTTATACCTCCTCCTTCATTTATTTCCTTCTTCTTCTGCTTAAACCCCAGTAAACCACCAGAGAGACTGAGAACTGAGCCTGGAACTTCAGCAGACTCTGTGTATGGGGTTTGAGCTGTTTACGCTTCCCCCCTTTTTTAGCTGCTCCTCTTCTCTACCTGAACCCCAATAAACCACCAGAGAGACTGAGATCCGACCCAGGAACTTCAGCAGACTCTGTGTATGTGGTTCAGGATCTCTTTATTTATGCTGTAATTTTTCATTGTCTTCTTCTCTACTTGACCTCTATATTATTCTTTTTCTTTTTTTCTTTGGCCTCTGTTCCTGCTGTAAGCCGCTAGAGCGACTGAAATCCGCACTTGGAACTACGACTTTTCTTGGTTTGTCATCTTCTCCCCTCTTCTCCTCAAAAGCTCAGGCCCATCCACCCACCAATCCTCCGACACCATCTGTCCAGGGCTGTTGCTTCCTCTCTCCATACTCTCCCCATGCACACCTGACTCAGCAAATTTAATACGCAGCTTTACCATCGCCACCATGAATGGTACCATCTCCATCAGCAAACAGTGTTTTGTTCAGTAGCTGCAGGCCAAGGATATCAGCAGCTCGTAGTCCTGGTAGTTGTTTGAGTGAGCACAGTAGCCGTTGGTAGCGCCAGTAGCCGAACAGCCGCGGATCAGTAGCCCGCAGGAGCCGTTGCGCACCCGATCAGTAGCGGCAGATAGCCGAGTCCCCTAGAAACAATGATTAGAAGAGCTCGAGAGGTTTTGGAGCTCAATCCACACAGGACTTGCAAATTCTGGTGATAAAGGTCCTTAGACTGTGTTGCACAAGATTCCCCTTCAGCGACAAAATTGTCATAAGTCGTTGAAGCTCCGCCCGCACGTGTCAGATTCCGTCATCAATCTGTGATCAAGACACGTGTTGGTTGATGTCGTGGCGCCTTTTCTCTTCCTTTCCCCCATCTCCCCTTCCCTCGTTCGCGTCCATCCCTCGCTCCTATAGTCCAGCATACTCCATTCCCAACCCTCAAAGTACCGGTCAAACCCCGCTGGACTCCATGCCTCCCCTTCTGCGCCATTTTCGCTCTTTCCCTTACGCCACTGCGTCGGTGGATAGCTCTCAAGACTTGCTCGTGACGCCCAAGGTTTCAAACAAGATTCAAGCATTCAAGTTTTCCCCCACCCAAGTCGGGCCTCTCCTTTACTCAAGTCGGCCGGCCCCTTTACTGAAGCCAGGGCCTTGCGCGCAAGTGCATCAATGTCAATCCTTGTCGCGGGTGATATCGCAATCTGGCCCTCTACACCTCAAGCACCTCAACTTTTTCTTGAAACTAATGTCAAGTCTCCCTGGCCCCGGGATTTCAATTCGGGTGGACGTGTGTGGAGCTTAATTCGGGGGACTTGGATAAAGTGTGCGTGCGGAAATGATTATTATTTCTTCGCATTACTAACATTTTCATCTGCTGTATCTTCCATGCTTCGACATCCCTGTTACGACTACATCCAACTCGCATCAGAGACGTGGTCCTCCTTACGCCCCATTAACGTGGTCCTCCTTACGCCCCTGTGTAACGTATTGCAGTGTAGTTTGATTATATATTATGGTTTTTGTAAACATTTTGGAACCCCCTGCAACATTTAAACCTGACTACAACTAGATATCATGAGCTATTGTGAGATATTAAGAACTACTAGGTCTGACAGCCACAGATATCGAGGGCTACCGGCGGCTACTGGGCGCCCATGCCAGAGCTACCAGGGGCTACCAGCCTTTGGCGCGGAGCTACCAGGAGCCTAATATTGGGGGACTTGCCTACCAGGCTACTCCGTCTACTGAGACCTCGTAGCACTACATAGTCAAGGCATTTTTTGCTGATGTCTTTCATTCTTGCTCGTGAACTTCTTGTTTGAACCGCAATTCCATGATATACATACATTCAGACAGTGTCTCCCCGTCTTGCTTATTTATTCTATTTTGCCATTTTTGCTGCTGTTCCTGTATCCCTATCCTTTGCAAGGGGCGCAGTGTTTTTTCCACATCCATCTTGAATTTCAATTTTTCACCATCCGTAATGGCTTTAAGATCAATGGATTCGAGCGGACAAGAGCAAGGCAGAGAAGATGAAGGGGAGTAAAGACCAGTGGGCCGCTGCACCTAGTGTAGAAAACCTTCTTTTGATTCCCTGTACTCTTCTCTACCTCCTTCAATTTTCTTTCCTTTTTTTCGAAGCTCAAATCGCATGGCCGAGGCTTTGGCCGACGAGTTCGGGGACTAGTCCAAT